TTCCTATCTGCTGACATCTAGAGCTCCTTCTTTTCTGATGGATGATGCAGTCCAGTGCTCCTGGGTGTGCAGTTGGTGTTAAAGATTCCTGTCATGACTGTGTAATAGGTGAAGGAAGGTACCTTCTGCCAAATCGGTTGCCTTTGCTTCAGCATCCTCATTGCACATAAGAATCCTCAAGATGGTTTTGCTCTTCCTGTGTAGGAGAGAGAGGTCAAGTAATCCTTGTTCCCTTTTGGGATGCCAAATACAACCTGAAACTATTCCTTGTGGATGTGCTCTGTCCCTTTTAAAGGACCTGGAGACATGGGTCACAGCTCAGTGTAAGCTAGCACTTTATGCCTAGCTCTTATCAGAATGAAGCTGGCTGATTCGTGTATGTGCATTTTTTTTAAACTGTAGCTCCTGTGACAAACCAGCCTGTGACTCCCAAAGCCCTGACAGCTGGACAGAACAAGCCACATCCATCCCACATTCCTGGCCATTTCCCTGAGTTTCCAGATCCTCACACTTACATCAAAACACCAGTGAGTGAAAAAAGACTTCTGTGCCATTTGGGGTCTGTCTGAAGTCAATGACACCAGGAGTGGTGTATAAATATTTTTCCTGTAGTGCTGGCACTTGTTTATCCAAAGCATTGTTTGTCCTGGCTTAATATATTGCTGCTTGTTTGTGGGTTGCCCTTGTTGTAGATTTCTGGCTGATTGACATCTCTAGCTCCCTGAAAATCTCTGCATGTTTAAGGTCAATGCTTGCCTGTAGCATCTGAATCCAAGTAGTGCTTTGAACTTCAGCTGTCTGCATTGCATCCACTAACGGTGTTTTGGGTTTTTTTTCCCCTCCCTGCTCCACAGACATACCGGGAGCCAGTATCTGATTATCAAGTCCTACGGGAAAAGGCAGCGTCTCAACGGCGCGATGTAGAAAGAGCTCTCACACGTTTCATGGCTAAGACAGGAGAAACACAGAGTCTCTTCAAAGATGATGTTAGCACATTCCCATGTGAGTTATCTAGGACGCTTTGTGCTGTAAATGATAGCTGTCTAACTGAGTATACACTCCATTAGAGCTCTTGCTACTGCAGGAGGTGAGCACTGAATGATCACGTTGTGCTTGCCTGTCTGAGTCACTGGGAGGCTGGGAAATGAGGAATTTTCTCTTTAAAATGGGGATGAAAAACAGAATCAAAGCCAAATGGCAAGCTTCCACCCTCGCCAAAGGCTCACTTTCTTCTGCTGGTGGAGAAAGCCTCGGCTGACAGGTGCTAAATTCAAAGTGCATCCCAATCCTGTCTATGACCTTCCGTAACTTTTAAACAAGTAATTTCCTCTCTGTCATATTTTCGTGGTAGGCAGTGGAGGTTTTCCTGTTTCTCCATCTACAAAGCAGTGATGAGAATTGCCACCTTCCCAAGGCTCACTGACAGCACAGATGTCAGTGTTATCTTAAGAGAGACTAAGTAATGCTTCAGCCTGTGAGATAATTGAACTGTTATGGAGGTCAGGAAGGACTTTTTGAGTTAGTATAATGCTGTTTATATATGTACATGTTTCTAAGCCAAATCCTTGGCTGAAAACATAAATGGGCCTCAGAAAATAGGAAATTAGAGACTGCCATCTTTTAGGGACAGCATATTTTATTCCTGATCCCTGGAAGCAGCAGGAAAAGTGTGTGTTTTAAACCAGAACCACTGAAAGTGTTTGGTCTCTAAGTAACTGCTTGGCTTTCTGATTCATAATCTCTGACTTGAAGAGCCTTGTCCCAGCTTGCTGACTGTGTCCTTTTCTCTATCCCTAGTGATTGCTGCCAGGCCTTTCACCGTACCCTACCTGACAGCTCTTCTCCCCTCTGAGCTGGAAATGCAGCAAATGGAAGAAACAGATTCATCTGAGCAAGACGACCAGACAGACACTGAGAACCTCCCCCTGCACATGAGCACGGTATGCTCAGCCTGAGAGATCAAGGTCTCTTGGGCCCAACTTTCTTAAACATATGAAACCTGGTTCTTTGCCTCTCTTCCTTGCAGCTGGGCAGAGTGGGTGGAAAATGGCAGAGTGGGTTGCATTCTGCCAGGTGTAAATGACTGAACATTGTCATGGTTCTTTAACTTTCTGCAGGGTGCAATGCAAAATGAGATTCAATGATGAGCTTTCAGTACAACCTTCAATTCAGTGTTAGGGGAGAGAGGATTGTCCTAGAATCCCACTGTTCCTGAAGGGGATCTTCTTGTCTTAGAAATCAGAAGTCCTCACCTTTAATGCAGCTCCTTGTGTGCTGCTGTTTATCTTGGCTGTTGCTTATCCGTTTTGCCCACAGGTTGTGTGGTTTGAACTTCTAAGCTTTGTTTAGCCTAACTTCGGTTGTTAATGCTTTTGTGTTTTTTTTAATGTGGCAGGATGATTCAGGACCTGAAAAGGAGAATGCTTCAGTGTTACAGCAGAACACCTCCCTATCAGGCAGTCGGAATGGGGAGGAAAATGTGATAGACAATCCCTACCTCAGGCCAGTGAAAAAGCCCAAGATCCGCAGAAAGAAGTGAGGTGTAGCCAGCTGGCTGCTCAGAGTAAGAGAAACCCAGGGGGTTCACCTCTGCTGCTGTGGGTATAAGGTGTGGAGCAAGACAGGAGAGGCAATCCAGCTGAGTGGCAGAAGCAGAAGAATGATCTCTCTCTGCCTAGTGAACTACACTCTCATCCTGGTTTGCAGTGCTCCCTCTTTCCCCTCTGCTCTCCTGCTGACTTGGAACAGTCAATGGTCAATTGCCTTAAAAGCATTTAAGGCCACTGGGTTACAGATGGGAATTGTCTCTTTTGCTTTGGTTTGTTCTCACTGTCGGCAGGATTTACTCTCTGAAGGGATGTGGGCCACAAAGGTTATTGCTGCTCAGTGCTTCCCAGCAGGCTCTACAGAATACAAAGGCATAATTCGTTTGTGGTTGTCTGGCAGGCTAGAAAAGAAACTTCTGCAATCAACCCTGCCTGGCCTTATAATTTAAGGAGCATGTATTAACAGAGACCGAAAAATCCCAGAGAGGTTTCTTTCTTTGGATTCTTGGCAGGTAAAAGCAAACAGACTTTTCTTTTATAAACTGAAGGCATCTGATGTGTTGGTAAGAGAATGAAGTGTAAATACAGAGCTAAGATGGCATTTTATTCTCACTTTTCTGACTGCAGCTGCACTTCTAACTTAAAAGCGCTAAGTGTGGTGTTTACCCTCTTCTGCTTTGAGATTAGTTTTTAGCAATATGAATGGCGAGATTTAACAGCTGCTTCAGGCTATTTTTCAGTTCTATTGTTAGTTTCAACATAGCACAGCACAACTCCTTTGAGAGTTCGTGCCTTCACCAGCTGTTTGGAAAGATGCTGTGCTGAAAAACTTGGAATATGGAATAAAGCTGTATTGATCGCAGTCCGCAAGGCCATGCTATTGATCGCACTTCTGTATTTTGTCTATTCTCAATGGGCTTTTATCAACAGAAGTTGCTCTTTTTTTCCCCTTTACTTCCCCAGAGCAGAAGACTTTATTTCAGCAGTGAAAATGACTGGTGATGGGAATATTGTAATTGTTAGCTGGTTCTGGAGGGCTTTGCTTCAATTTTCATTCAGCCTTTACTTAGGCAAAATATGGGTTAAATTTCTTTGACAAAAGACTCCTGTAGTTTGGTCCAGTCTCCCAATCATCTCTTCTGGATGAAAATGTGGTGCAGGGAGAGGCAGCAAAGACTGCCTGCTACAGACTGCCAGGCAGGTCATGGTTTTCTAGAGTAGCAGCTGAATGCAAGATGTCTGTTGCAGTCACCAGGGAGACCAGAGTTATGTGTGTGCATATTCACCTCTGTTTAGTTAAGGCATCCTCCCTCTTCCTCTGTCACCCAAGGAGGAGGAAAATAAAAAAGAGTAATTGTTTCAGTGAGAAC